CAGAACATTGTGCAGGCTAGTTTCGCTCCTTGACATCCACATGTTGAAGACTTGCATGGGGTATCCCATTGAGCAGGAACACCTGATCATCTGTAAGATCTTACTGGGAGCTAGGGGAGTTTCTGCAGGTACTGTTGTTAGTCGCAATGACTTCATACTCTGTTCTTTAAACCATCCATAGTCTGTGGCTTCCAACTTCTGAGGATCAAATCGCAGTGCATTCTTCCAAAGAAAGGTTTGCAAATGAGCTCTCTTGACATTCTCAGCAAATGATTCTGTAGTTGGTGGCAGTGAGGCATTGGGAACATGTGCTAGTCCAGGCTTCCCAATTTGAGCAGTCCATACACTAACTCTTGCTTCTGACATGGATGTAGCCATTGGCTGTACATAACATTCAGCTGTGAATCTGGTCGCTTGCGCCATCACAGCCGATCTTGTCAAAAGACACATTCTTTCTCAGCACTTTCAGTATTTTTCCTTTCCCTACTCCATAGCATGCTGCCACAGTGTCACAGCCAGATAGAGCATGACCAGCCAATAATGATGGAATTATATCACGATGCTTCTCCACAGTAGCTTGTATATCAATTACCTTTCTCTCTCTAATAGGTGATGCCATCACCATTAGTAATTGTAAGCCTTGTTGCAAGTAATGATGAAGTAGGAGGTCATAGACATCTGTATCGTCTCCAAGAATAATCACATGCATCTGCTCATTGACTGCGACCTGCATGGCTTGCTGCATAATGTCTTCGTATGACCACACCACCACAACTGATTTCAACAGGACTCTTCTCTTGGACAGTTATCATGAGCTTGTGCTTTTCCGTATTCTCCAGGTGAAAATCTGTATCATTCTGAAGATCTTTGCATATGATGTCTATCAATTCCTTTTGGTTTTGTGTGATAGTAAGAGGCACTTTTTGAGAGGGCAAGGGTGATGTGAGACATAGCTGAAATGCTTCACATCCTTCTGCCACTCTGGAGGTTTTGGTGGAAGACTTTGTACTGAATTCTTCATTCCTGTCAAAGACTAAATATGCGTCACCAGACTTCATCTTCTCCAGTATATGATGCTTGAACTTCTTCACAAAGTCCATTACTATTGGCTTTTGTGTAGAGGAGGACGAAGGCTACCGAGGAATCCAGAGGAGCGCACAGCCGTCAATTACAGTGCAGGTTGCTTCTGGTGTTGAATGTCTGGCTTGGTCAGGTTTTTCAAATCTGACTTTGAATTAGAAATTCGAACCTCTCCAGAGTCATTGAATAATGCAGTTAGTACAGGTGATAGCTCACATGATACAACTTCACTGATGTTAATATCTCGTGAAGTGGCCTGAAGTCCCACCACTCTGGTGTAAATCAGCTCTGTATTGTACACCTTGCTGTCTGCCACCATGACTGACTTCTTTGTCACTGCCATTGTTTCAACTTTCATTGGGATACTGTCATAAAAAAACATCTCAAACTCCCCCATTTGTCTGGTTCCAATATCAATTGCTACGTCAACATTCACTAAAGATGGACCAATCATTCCATTCACGATATTCATGATGGTCTGTGTATGCTATTCTAGGTCTAGTGGATTGATACACATCTCCAACTTCTTTCGCAGACCCTCCCTGTCAGCCTGGTCAGCAGATATTCGTCCATTGGCTTCTTCTTTGTGAGCTTTTTGAACACAAGATGGTTTTTCATTCTCTCTCAGAATTGATAAATCTTCAAGTAGTCGGTCACTTAGATGCAGACTTAAGTGTCCATGTCTTCAGAGTCTCGGGTTTCAATGTAATGCCAATTATGCCAGATTTCCCATGCCCATACCGCATAAAAGTCGTCTCAATAAACATGTCACTCCACAGACCATTCCATAATCCTGGTACATGCCGCATTACATGAGCACCCCTCATGAATTGTTCTAGTATGCTATCTGGCAACTCCTCCATGCTCCTCAGATAATACAGACCATATCTAGCATAGTTGACGTGCCTAGATGCAAAGAAGTATGGCATCATCAGTTTCACTTCCTGCAGGTGAAGAGGCCAATCACCTTCTCGCTCTGCCCGTACATACAACATCATTATAAGGACTGGTTTTATGAACACATCAACCCACGTTTTTGAAGTGCGACTTTAGGGTGCCAGGCCTTCCAGAACATTCATAAAATCATGATGGCCCTTCAGCTGAGTTTTACCAATAACATCTCTAAGCAGCTCCTCGGCAACCATGCGCATAGCTCTCATGTTCATCGGAACAAAACATATTTTCGACACCTCCAAAGACAGACTTCAAAATTTCTGACAGGCCAGTCTCAGTCATCAATGTTCCAATAGCACCCACAAAACTCATCAGCATATGCATTCCACCCAATCTTGGGATCAGATTTGGAAGTAGATCTGGATGAGCCCATTGAACATCCACTGCAACTCTGTAAAGTTGATCAGCGGTGAACACAGTACAATTTTGTCCAAGTTTTTCTGTTAACTGCTGTGCTTTGTTCATTGCAGTAATGATGGTATCGGGATGAGCTGGTGGCATTTCAATCAATGCCAGATAAACTGCTTTAGTCTTCGGCCCAAGAGATCTTCCTTGTTCACGACACAAGTGAGTATTGTACACAATGAAGTCAGGACAGTCATAACTCGCTATCACATGTTTCAGAAAAGTGAAGTCATGCTCCCTTGCTCTCTGCAGTGCCAGACACTTATGGGCTAGTATTTTCAGTGAGGGTACATGCCTGAGGTGGAAACTGAGGTGGAAACTTTGGTTTCTTGGGTCCATTGTACCTGACAATATCAAGCTTATAATCAATATCTTTCGACATCCCAGTTTTCTTTAGCCGGCGTATGTTGTGTTCCTGATACGTTGAGCCAGCACTAGGCTGGGTTAAGAGAACAGCTAACGAATGAGTCGACAATTTACCATTTTGAGATGCCATTTCTGCATCAAATTTGTCCACCACAACTTGAACAAGACCATCCTCGACTTTGAAAATGGCTGTTAAATCAGAACTTGTAGCTGCTGCTGCAGCTGCAGACTTTTTGAAGCGCAATAGTTCACCATAGGTACAAGACACTCCAAAATAATTCATCGTCTTCACCAATTCCTTGGAGTCCCACAAACGTATAGCCAGGCTGATCTGCAGTTGAGTTGGATGTTTTTTTTAATACAGGTGTAATGATGTTACCTATGAGCAGAGCTGGTAGAGTATTGTCTAATTTTGGCGACAAACTGGAATGAGATCAAAGACAGTGCTACTTGCAAACTCTGATGTATCACCAAAATCCAATCAAATTAGCAACTTCTCTCCATGGCACTTTATCTAAAACAAGAGATTTTATGCGACTGTTCTGTACTGATAAAAGGCCAATGCTTAGAGAAACAAGTGATCTCAAGCCATTTGTCATCTATAACTAAACGGAATGTGATTTAAATAGAACAGGATGTCATTCTGTTTGTAGCAAGGCGAATATATTGACAACAAGTAGCTGTACACACACATTCAGAATGTCTACATCCACGTGTACGTACAGCTATTAACTTAATTATGCTACCCATGCCTCTTTGAAATTAAAATATAACCACACACATATAATTCAACTTACTTGGCTAAGCCTTGAAAAAAACCCTGACCAACATGAATATATAATATTAACATTAGTATAAGTCAAGCATGCATTCACCATCTAATGTACTTACTAATAGAGCAAAAATTAACTTTCCAATGAAGTGGTTGTGGCCAGCTTTAAACGATGACATCATCAGGAAGTACAAAAATGTGTTGTTGTTGAGGAAATTTTGTTTATTTTAAGTTAGACTGTAATTGTTTACAGCTAGACACCAAAAAGAGATACGTTGCTTACATACATAAATCGGTTTAATTATATTTCGCAACTCAATGCTGATGGAGGTCCAGTAATAAGTTTCTCTAAATACATAGTCTTGAGATGCAAAATTCACAAAGAAACCTACTATAGACACCAGTGCAAGGCTGTGCCCCAAAAGTGGATTTGATTGCCGCACTACTATGGTGTGAGGACTGTCTGTAACAATATGTGAAGGTGTCGCTTTTCTTTCGTAATAATCCTGTGTTAGAAGAAAAGATGAAAATATTTTATTTGTGTGTCAAATGTTATGCATAAAACATACATAGACACTTTAAAACCCTCATTGAAATATAAAATCTGGCCATATGGCCTAAGAGACACAAGACACTACATTATACCTAAAACAGATAGTAGTGAATAAAATATCACAGCTTGATAAGTAACAGTGAAGTGTGGTGTATTTGAGTACAAAGTGCGTTTACGTCTATTAAACATTTTAGTAACCAAAGCAGCTAAGGGTTTTATTAATTTAATATTACCTAGCCTGGTCAGTAGTCGACAAGAGAGAAACAAGGGTTAATATTTAAAACAGTATTTCCCCAGCAGTTCAGCACTAATTCGGCAACCACTGTGATTCTGCAGAAGTAAAGTATAATTCCGAAATCATGTGTACCGTACTGAAACGGAGGCCGTAGTCCTGGTAATACTGTTGGATTTGTGTGGACCTGTACAGAAGTTAGGCAATGCTATATTAGGTAGTTTTGAACATTTGGTTATAGCATTTAATGATATATTTAGTTGTTCAGGTGTTTTATTTTCAGATTTCAGATTCAACAAGAAATGTGCCATGGTATTTTCTGATCGCCTCCTTGGTCTCGGTTTTATTACAGTCTTCACTGTTGAGCTGACGTCCGAATCTGACATCACGATTCACATGTGCAGGTACTCCAGGCAAATATCAGTGTCAACCCATTTCGTCAACAAAAAGTGCACATATGGTGATACCTTCAAAATCTACAAACACTCTATATAAATATAATGCTGATAGGTAAGCCAATGGATTAATAACATTACTCGCTTCTCTGCTAGGTTGTCCCAGTGTTTTGTATTACTTTGATTGTACTTGTGTTTCGATTATTTCAAGAACGCTTTGAAAATAATAAACTGAGACAGAAATTAATTCACGGCTATATTCATGTAATTACAACGTAGCGAGTAAAATTGCACAACACCCACAGCCAGGGCGAGACCAAAAGATATAGAGACTACCGGCTTTACAGCATAAGGCAGAAAGTATGTCGCTAAGAGGATGGAGCTACAATAGCCCCATTACCCTAAAGCGGAATAATGATAACAACGGCCCAGGGTAAACCAAAAGAGGCCTGAAAAGTACACAATGCATGTTATCATTATGCTAGCCTGCTAGCCAACCTTACAAGGGTAAAAACACTGTACTACTCTAGTACAAACGGTACCTCAATGGTACTTACTCCAGTGGTACAAACGGTACTCCAATGGTACAAATAGTACACCAATGGTACTAATCCAATGAAAGGTTGGTAAAATTACTATGCCCAGACTGCACGTACTATGCCGCGGTGTTACTTTGTCGCCGCTCGTCTCCAGCTGACCGTAACAGAAGGCTACAGTGTCTGCAACAGAGAACCTATAGGCAGTATTTCTGTATGTGTAACATACAACAAAAGACTCAATAAAACATCAATATTCCATATTATAGGGTGGGGTTCGGAAGGGAATGAAACATAACACGCCTGTCATGGCGTTGCGAGAAAGAGAAGTAAGATTCAGCCCGAAAGCAGTTACCTCCCTTTTACTATTAGAATAAACCGCTTGAGTTATGTCCCTTTCCAAACACCGTTTAACCATGTTATAACTTTACAATGAATGTTTAGGGTAATGTCCTGTGTACAAACTTCGGGGTTATATTATCTTATATACATGTACCCTCATTTGAACATGCCTACTTTTGGACATGGATTGAACTCCCTTGTTGGAGCTGGCAACGGTGTTAACCCACGAATAACTCCAGACCATAGGATTTGCCCTCATTGTTTCAATTGCTCACTACGAGAACTTTCGGCTGTATTACATATATTGACAGTGTATTGGTTTTCAATATTCACCAATGACAATGCAATGCCATCAGATATCACTGTATTACCAAAGTTACCCTGTATACAAACAATGATCCATGTTAACCTTTGGATCCTCCAAGTTTACGAAGGGATTATCATTGCAATCCATTTATGACTGTGTTAAGGCCTGTACTAGTTGCGGATGTTCTCAATCGTTTGATTGTTCTTTTTGATTAAGACAAGGTTGTATCTTAAGTCCCCTTTTGTTTTCGATGTTTATTAATGATCTTGCAAAGGAAATAGAGTCTAATTTTTCGCAGGGTATTCAAATGCAACCGGAATTAGTGGAATTATTCTTAGTATCGTTTGCTGATGATGTTATTCTCAATTTTGATATTATTTTTGGTCTTTAAAAGTGCATAGATATTTTAAAATCGTTTTGTGATGATTACAGGTTGTCTGTTAACTTAAGTAAAACGAAGGCTGTTGTTTTAAAAATGGCGGGATATTGGCCGCTGTCCTCTGTATATGTTTTGCATCTAAAAGAGTGATTTCATATTGGCGTAAAATCTTAGCTATGCCCAATTACAGATATGTTAGGTGTTAGAAAACGTTACAATGTGCAGTTGCAAGCTCTTAATAATGTACGGAGAATAAAATGAGAATTGAAACTGGTAGACATAATAAGGAATAGTCCAGCTCTGTGGCGGCGGCTTGTAAATAATCGAGTCGAGACCAGACATTCCAGTTATCAACAGCATGAGCATCGATCTACGCAAATGGGATACGATGACATGTGTCAACCAGGCGAGCGAGCTGACTACCCGATCCTCTTATGACATGCATTTGGAATTCTAACCAGGATTTTTTCGAGTGACAGGTAAATGAGAGCTTAAGGACTGAATACAGCAAACGTGCGTACATGAGTGAACATGGGGATTAAGGCGTTGTGAGTGAGTGAATGGGAGGATAAGTGAGAATCAAGGAGTGTCTGAAGATTGAGTGAGTGGTACATGAGTGTGAGGGGTAACTGAATGATCGAGGAGAAAGTGAATGATTCTAAGCAGGTGAGAGAGAAAGTGGGTGGGTGGATTTTGGAGTAAAGAGTAGGTGGTCACATTATTGATGAGCATGTGTATACATGTGTTTTTCCTAGAACGTTTAGATATTTCTTCCCAGGTTATCGGTTTGGCCACAACGGTGGCGTCAGCTTCACCCAAATTGTAGACAGTGCCCAAAAGGAATTCTTAAGTCAGTGTGATGAAGTCCAGTGTGATGAAGTCCAGTGTGATGAAGTCCAGTGTCAAGGTCCAGATGTTCAACATTGAAAGGTTACAAAGACAGCAGGGGTCGACGGAAACAAGGATGTGTGCATTAGGTCAGAGCTATTTTACACACCAAGATGCACAGTACCCTTCAAACGATCAACAAACTCTGCCTGTATTTAGCCCTTGCTTCAGTTGTGTTATATATGATATAATTAATGACTGTGATGGCTGCTGATCCCTTGGGAGCAGTTAAAATTCCAGGTGTGGAGGTGTTTTATCTGCACATTTAGCACGTTTGGGGTACATTTGAGTCAATTCCTTTTCCATTAATCTTAATTTTCCAAAAACTAATGGCGAACAATGATGAAGTACAACGTGTGAAGCCCGACCTCTGAATACATTACTACAGACGATATAAAGCCAGATCAGAGATGTTTTTCTTTGGTCTGCATCAAATGCATTTGAATCATGATGTCGGTGTTGCTGCATTTTTTAAACTCAAACACGTTGTTGATAGTGAAATGCAAGGTTCTTGCTTTCAAAATGAATGTCCAAGAGGAACCATATTTTGCACGATACGGATTTCAGCAATGTCTGATTGAGCTTGGTGGTAATTTGTCTTTTGTCAGTGGAAAGTACAACAACAACCACAAATGAGTTATCAAAATTGTTTATTATATGTATCAGAAATAGCCACAATTACGTGCCAATTCTCAAGGGTACAGTCAAGGTGCGAACTTACAAAGCACTGGCTTGAAGGATATCGACGACACAGCTAAATTGGCCTCATAACGTCATAACGTAGTTTTACTTTTCACAAGCTTCATTATTTTTTCTTACTGTGAGCACCGGCACCCTGCTGAACTACGGAAGCACGAGTAAAATATCAATTAGATATCTACGATTTTTTTGGGTGTTGGTGCAAGAACCACGTGATGGTTGATATAGTATTACAACTATCTCCGAAGTAAGGTTGTACACATTACTGAGTCTGTATCTTATATGGGAGTAGCGGTATCTTCCCATTATGACTACTCCCAACGCGACTAACTCCCATTTTGTCTACTCATGAACATAAATGTATAATGGAGCACCCCTACACTTAATAATGTACTATATCTGTACAGTTTGTCTACTCTTTGAAATAAACCTATTACGGAGACTCCCAGGGGCTATCCGTCTTTGAATCATTAGAAGCTAAGTGAATCAGAGATCTTGTGATCATTCATTGTTTGTTTTGATGTTTGGTGATAACTCCACTACTCTGATTAAAACTTTGTATACTGAATGAATCAATTCTATTTTCAAGCCGCCTTGAAGTATATATAGAATCTCACCCAAGTGTCTTCTGATATCAATTATATCAACACAAGTTGATAAAGTTACAAATATCCCAGGCTTGCCGAGGATATTTTAACTTTTATCAACGAGTGTTGATATATTTGATATCAGAAGACACGAGGGTGAGATTCTATTTATCATCCAAAATCACTTTTCATTAATTTTCAATGAAATATGTACATCTCTCAACACGGTACTGCCATTACACTTGCAGTGCAGTGATGTCATAGCATTGTGACGTCATCAAGTACATGACGTCATAGCATTGTCAGGGCATTGTACAAAATCTACTGTCAAAACGATATCTCCTAGGAGATATCGTTTGATCTCACACAAGCGATATCTCCTGTGGAACACAGTTTTGGATGATAAACATAATTATGAAATTAACTGAATAGATATTGTATGAACCTGGTACAGCTATAAATGATTATATATATTTTACAGATTAAAGATGAAAATGCAGCAGAGAGGGTTCGGGTGATCCTGGTAAGGCTCATCATCAGCTCAGGGCCCTTGCCCCCTCTACACGCAGCCCAGACAGTGAATGGACTTCTCCCAGGAAACACTGCCTAGTCGAACCCACCAAGAAGTTTCCGGAGAATATGTAGACTCCCCAACACTGCAGCCTTCTGCATTACCCAGAGTGTCAGAAGGGCTGTGCTTCCGGTGGAAAACCCGGGCACTCTCCTGATCTGCGCCAAGAGATCAGGAGGTACCAAACCAAGGGCACCGAGAATAATGGGGCGTCTGACGACAGTGTATTTGGGATGCAAGCGAGACATTTCACAGGCGAGGTCCGCATATTTATCATGCTTTTCCTGAATGTTGCCAATCACGATGGAACAGCCTACCTGATAGAGGGGAGAGAGCTAATAATTTTAAAAACCCATTTTACTGAAACATATTGTGTATTGGACGGGTAGTCAAATTGGGAGTAGTCATAATATGAGTGAACCGGAGTAGTACACTTTACTTGGCACACTTTATCGGTTTTCAATTAGAGACTCGTGCAGGACTGAATTCCGATCGTGAAGAGTTGATCTAATGCCAATAATTAGTGGCCTTTTACCCAAGTCATCAGCACCTGAATGTTTACCTTTATGCACATATACAGTAGACACTTTATGTGCGAAACTCGAAACGAGATCAAATTTGTTCTGAATTTCCTCAAATTACTTTGGATTAATTCGTTAATGGACATAGTTAACCAGCTGCCCAACTATAGAGGTCTTAACGGGGTAGCTGATAGGGAAAGTGGAAATAAGAACTAAGGATAGAGTTCGGGGTAATATACTCTTACCCGAACAGACAAAACATGAAGAATCTGCTAGGCGGAAGCAGTAGCCCTAACTTTGCACACTACACTGTATTATTGTTCAGTAAAATATGCAAATATTGAAGCATTCATAAATCGATGCCAAAGTGCTTCAGCCGAGTAAGTACTTCTGTTTGATTGACAGAAACATATATTCGGGTGTATAGAGGACGTTTTTCCACAGATATTAACCGATATAGCCGTTCCATACTGTTGAGACCGTCCTTGCCAAACCGTTCACGGCTTGTTCTATAGACAGCCATTCTGAAAATAAAACGTATGAAACATTATTACCTGACACAAAATATAATCCAGTACATTTATATTCCCTCGATGAATATTGTATTTTACATAGTAGTGTTTGCATAAATTCTTGATAAAGAACGTCTGAAAACCTTTATGATAGTGTTTACACTGGAAGTCATAGCCATTCACAATCTGCTGGAATTGAATCTGGAATTCACCATGAAGGATACGGTAACATCTAAGCTTTCTTACACAATTAATAAGTGTGTAAACGTCAGACCTTATAATCAGTGAATGTTTAAACATACCTATATTTTCCATTTCATGTGTTTTCTTGACTTTGCACAGATAAGATCCGGGAACACACAGAGATTTGGTCATTTCAAAGGGAACTGCATGTATTCCCAAAAGGAGGATATTTCCTTATGAACGAATTTGTAAGCTGTGCCTCACTATAAGAATATATCACCGCAGAAAAGAAAGATGTGAGAAGCAAATACAGATACAAGTGAAGACATCTGTACTTGAATGTGTGTACACACATTGAAAATGTAACTGCATATTTAAATGTAATTTGATAGCAAAGAAACCTACTGCTTGTCTGTATTGTTTAATGTAAACAATTTCCTAATATTTTTAATCTAAATGGAACGACAGTTGGTTCCAGTACGACTAAATCGGGAAGTAGACACACATTATAAAGGAGAGCCGTTCCAAGTCACACAATCATATAAATACCTTGGAGTCTACTTCACTAATCGTCTTGGCTTTTCAGCACATGCTATATATTGTTCCACACTAGTCAAAAAGGTACTTATTGGGGTTCTCAAAAGTATTCACAAACTCGTAGATATTGATTATCATTCTTTTTTCAAAATATTTGATACAAAAATCCTTCCTATTCTATTGTATGGTTCAGAGGTATGGGGTTTCAGTAATTTTGACGTAATTGAGAAAATACATTTATATACTTGCAAGAATTTTTTAGGAGGGAAAGTAAGTACACCTAATGCCATGGTATATGGAGATTATGGAAGATTTCCCATACACATTTTTGCTAAAGCTAGAATAATAAAATATTGGATACGTCTGTTATATATGCCATCTGATAGATACCCTAGACAGTGTTATGATATGATGTTAATGTACGATAACAACGGGAAGACTAACTGGGTGACTAACATTCGAGAATTGTTAAATACAATAGGTTTTGGGGAGGTATGGCAAAGGCAAAATGTTGACTTTCATGCAAATTTTGTGAATAATGTTACTCAAAGGCTCAAAGATATATATACACAAGAATGGGTAGGAGCACTGTCATTGTGAAGTAAATGTTTCTATTATAGAATGTTTAAATCCCATATATACACAGAGAATTATCTGCTGTCACTAAATATCAAGAAATTTCGAAAGGCTTTTGCTCGGTTTAGGTGTTCCTCACATGACTTGGCAATCGAAACAGGGAGATATCATAAAATAGAGAGGGAAAATAGAATTTGTACATTTTGTGATCTTAATTGTGTAGAAGATGAATATCACTTCCTCTTAATTTGCCCATTATATTGTGAGTTAAGAAAAAAAAATGTCCCAAGATATTGTTCTGTATATCCCGATAGGGAGAAATTTTCTTTGTTAATGAGTACTGATGACAATGTTCTTATCCGTAAGTTGTCAACCTTTATCTATCAGGCATTGTCTCTAAGAAATAAACATAATAATTCATAGAATGTATGTACTCATATTGTTATTTGTTACGATATGGTATGATGTGGTGCGATATGATATATGATATGATATGATATGATATGATACATGGTATGATATGACATGATGTAATATGGGGTGTTATGATATGATGTGATACGACAAAGTATGTGTAATGCGATGTTATATGATGTGATACATTTTGATGCGATATGACATATTGTGATTTGACTATTTTTATTCTTTTCTATGATATTGTGTACTATGTTCTTGTATACTATGGGCCTGTGGCCTTGAGTATGAATAAAGATTGACTGATTGATTGATTGACTAAATCGGGAAGTAGACACACACGCACAGAAGCTGAACACAAATGAAAAGTAAAATATAAGCTAATTGCCTGAGCACAATGTCCACATTGGTCCTAAACACCATTTTATAAGGGCGTAGACAATGCGCCTTGATACAAAGGAATATTTTCCATCACAAGGGATAACTATTTCAAATCACGAACTATGAAGGATCTTTTTAATAATGTCAGTTCTCATTTAATTATTGCATTTTTAAAAGAATTAGATTTGTTAAATGATTTGTAAATAGATAAATGGTATTTTAAACATGGTAGTATAAATAAGCAACTGCGATTGTTAGTGGCTGTATGCTGGAAGGGGGTTAAATTATCGCAATATTATTGTCTTGAGAGGGTACGTAAGTCCCAAAACTTAACTTAAGCTTACCAGATTTTTAAACGTAGTATATTTGTTCTTTTAAAATTCGGCTAAACTTTTCCTGCAATCGCCAGCGGCTGAAGGGATGGTGTAAATCCAACTAAGGTCCATGCAGGCAGCAAAGGCACTGTAAGTCCCCATGGACCCTAGTATGGTGATCTACATTCAGTTGTTGGCGATCAATAGCCTGTTTTTATATTGTATCGTCCTCTATAGTTAAAGTATTTCAGATTTAGTTACTCATTTTAAGTATATATCTGTGATAGTCTAGTTGGTTTTACTGTCCTTTGTCGACAGCTATATAAATTGATTACATGTACCTTGTTTTCATCGCTATATGGCTGTAATATTGCCGATGCGATGTAAAATTTCAGCTCACTCAATCACTCACAAAGGAATATTTACTTTGATTGGGATTGGGTAGAAAGCGGAAAGGTTCTTTGTCTTTTCAACAACCATGACAAAGTCGCAAATGACGGAATATGTTGTAATAAAGCAGGTGTCTCCCAGTCGGGAGTGGCTTCAGCGTTACTTGTTAATGGCAATATAGCACATTTTCTAAATGTTCAGTTATTTATTCTGAATTGTATCAGTGAGAGAAAGAAAAAGCACCAACGCACAGGACGGCCGAGTGGACTATAGTCCATCAATTTTACTTTGATTATATCGATTGAATTCGCCCAAGTGTGTTCGGAAATGATGAAAGTTCCTTATATGCTTTTTAGACCTTTTGACCTGACTAGGTAAATCCGTTTAGAGTTTGCCTAGCGACGTTTAAAATTGCCTTTCTATTGTTCACATGTAATTTGATGACAGGGATGACTACATACAGTGAAGAAACAGACTATAGTTAATAAGAATCTATTCACAGGACCAGTACAAGATAAATGAAAGCCAAAACTCTGGAAATATTATGTGCATGTATCTTTACCAGGATAAGGAACAGATTTCAAATTCGATGTTTACTCGCGACCACAGGAAAACATTATTCCAGTTAGCAATTTTCAAACTACAGAGAACAATGAAAAATACATCTGCAGAAATTAACAAGTTGAAAACTGACACAACACAAATTCCGTTATTGTGTTGCAAAACTCACTCATGAACTTCTCGTGTTAGATGATTCATGTCATATTGAGTTAGAACCAACAGAACCACTAGTCATGGATCCTCCCAAGAAAGCGATAACTGCACACAGAAATTGAAGACCTCTTTCTCTCATAAGGTTAGTCAAGGTGTCATCAAGAAAGTAGACCATAAACCAATCTTCAGGATTAAAAATCTGAATAAGGTAATAGCTAGTGAACACTTTAACCTTCTAACTATTGCGGAAATTACAACCCAAGTTAAATTATAACAACAAAGGACAGTAAAAACCACAAGACGATCACAGATGTGAATATACAACTAGTTTGTAAATCTAAAACTTTCTAAATATCAATACAATACAAAATAAACAACAAGCTAAAGATCGCCAAAAACTGAAGGTAGATCACCATACTAGGGACCATGGGGACGGAACAAAAAAGGAGTGGAACGACTGTTTGGATTTGTCAACTACATTGCAAAAGATATTCTTAATCTGTACTGAGAAATCTGAACCAATGAGACCACTCTTGAAGAAAGAATTTGAATTCCTCTGGTCCAAAGGACCATGAATTGCAGAGGAACCTGTTCCAGTGCTGAAGTTCCATGCCATCACCAAACCGTTGGTAGTACCATATGATGCATTCAAGACGTGACTGGGACCCGTACTTCATCAACCAATCTGTTGCTCATACATCAAGTTCAATGATAGAAAAAAAGGACTACTGGAAGTATGTTGTTTCAGCTTGATGCACAGACCAGGAAAGGAGATGGTACTGGCTGGTACACACTCTCAAGGGCGCACATGTAGTGATGGTGGAAACCTAGAAGACTGCATTACTTACTATGTAAAATCTCTCACTTCAAACCTGCCTTCTATAGTTGCAAAATTAGCAAATTCTGAAGTCAATCATTCGAAATTGATAGCCTGATAACAAATCATCTGTTATCAGTAGAGTTCCTTTCAACTCGTACACTAATTTAATGACCCTCCAGTATCTGTGCACGCGTATTAGGTAAGATCGTTTTTGGGTGGTCCTCAAAGCCACGATTATTTGGGGGGCCCTTCCTTGTTTAGGCTGTCTTGACCAACCCTGCAAAATATGCAAAAATATTCGCGACTTGTCCTACACATGAACAGCTTTATGCAGTCGAAGAAGACAAACTGGCCCACTGTGGTACTCTTGCCGTAGCGGGATGACAAGACTTTATGGATGATCAACTTCTTTATTTTGATAAATGGCGACGTTTAGGTATAGATTCTTATACCGTTTTCAAGCATATGAATCTGTACCGAAACGTCACCATTTGTCAAAATAAAGAAGTGAGTGAGTGAGTGAGTTAAAACTTAACGTCACATCGGTAATATTGCAGCCATATTGTGACAAAATAAAGAAGTTGATCATCCATAAAGTCTTGTCAACTGCTAGAATGCCACTCAAACAAATCTTGCCGTAGCACCTAGCATGCAGATTTCCAGTGTACACAAGGCATTCTCCATTTGTCGAGTGTGAATGTTAATCCATCGCAAGAACTTGCCGGCCACCTTTCTCTGACATGAGGCATCTGTCATGGCTTGAACCAAGGTCTCCATAAACAGTTTATAACCATAAATTTCCTTCTCAACTCTGAGGAAAGAAAAGAACATTCTGTTTTCTCACAAACCTTCTTACCATACATTTACTCAAACTAAATCTATGGTCTTGCAGTGTGGACAGCGCCAACTCTACTTACTCTTGCCTTGTGTGATGGGGATCTTTCTTATGCGTCAAAGCAGTGTAACGAGGATATTTGCTGTGTTCATACGGCATCTGCTTCTTCTGCAATCTGTAAATGACCATATACAAAATAAGTAAAAGGTAAACTATAAACACCTGTCGGCGAAGGACAGTAAAAACAACTAAAATATCACAGATATAAATGTAAAAATCGTAATTAATTCTAAAACGTTTCAAGTATAGGGGACAACATAATATAAAACAGGCTACGGATTGCCAACAACTCAAAGTAGATCACCATACTAGGGGCCTTGGGGACGGAAGAAAAAAGGAGTGGAACGACTATTTGGATTTGTCGACTACATCGCAAAACATTTTCTTAATCTGTACTGAGATAACAGAACCAATGAAACCACTGCTGAAAAAAACCCATTTGCTTCCTGCGTGCAATTTCGTGTCTGGATATATTAAAAAAAATTGATGCAGCTATTTGTCCTATCCTTTCTTATCGGGCAGAGATTTGGGGCACTTCGAACAGTAGGCAGATAGAAAGTGTGCAAATATACTTCTGTAAAAGGTTTTGAAAGTTAGTAAATATACCAACAATGTTATGGCTTTAGGTGAGTTCCATTGGGTAGCACCATATGTCTAGATGTGTGAAATATTGGTGTAGATTGCTTCAGTTTCATACTCATAGGTTGCCGTATCAGTGTTATCAAATACTCAGGTCATTGGATGAAGTTGGTAGAAATACTTGGGTTACATCTGTTCAGCATATTTTGTATCAGTTTGGTTTTGGTATTGTATGATTATCCCAAGATGTAGGTAATGTAAATTTATTCATGACCACTTTCAAGCAAAGGTTATATGATAGTTTATGTCACGATTGGCATTCCATTGTATATAATTCATCAAAATGGAATGTATAAGGTACATTTAAGTCTTTGTTGAATGAAAGAAAGATCCTTAAGTCCAGATATTCCATATTATTATAAGCATGTTTTTTCTCAATTTAGGTGTAATAAGTTCCGTTTAGCGGTGGAGTTAAGTAGACATAAAAAACATCAGTTACGCTGATAGGATTTGTTCTTATTGTCACAGTAATGGTTTACATTTGCTCGAGGATGAATTTCGTGTCCTGTTAATATGTGACAGATATGAAGATGTTAGACAAGAATGTCTTCCTTCGGTATCTTCCCATAAGTGAGTGAGTAAGTTAATATTTAACGTCACATCGGCAATATTTCAGCCATATCGTGACGAGAACATTATACATTGAAATGGAATATGTGTATATTATAAAACCTGTCATCGAAGGACAGTAAAACAACAAGAATATCACAATTAGATTTAAAACTAGTGTGGAAGGTTAAAACTAATAGCACTATTAGGACAATACAAGATAAAAACAGGCTATAGATCGCCAACAACTGAAGGTAAATCACCATACTAGGGACCATGGGGACTTACAGTACCTTTCCTACCTGCATGGACCCTAGCTGGATTTACACCATCTCTCCAGCCATTGGCGTTTATACTGAGACTTAGCCATACATTAAAATGACAAATATACTACGATTAAAAACCTGGAAGACTTAAATTTACTTGAAATGTTTTGGGACTTACGTACCCTCTCAGGGGGACAATAATTTTACAGTACTTTAACCCCCTTTGAGGGTACAGCCACTAACAATACAAGTTACTAATCTAAACTACCCATCATTAAAATACATCTATCTACAGAACATATTCTTCAAAATTCGTCTATTAAATCAATTTCTTTTAAAAAGCCAATAATTACATGAAAATTAACATTGTTAAAAAGATCCTTAACTGTTTTCACATTGAAATACTTATCCCTTATGATTGAGAATTCAGCACAGTCAAGCATGACACACTTGACTGTGACTCTCTCATCACAAGGGATACAAAACGGAGGATCTTCACCTTTTAAGAAGTATTTGTGAGTATAGCTTGTATGGCCAATGCGACATCGTCGCATGATGACCTCTTCAAATCTGGAATAACAACCAAAGTAGGTGTAACCAATATAGGGTCTTATTTCATGTAATTTGTTAATACCTACTTGGGTGTCCCACTTCTTTTTCATAAGATCATGGATGTAAGTTCTAATGCTAGCTTTGTAATCAGAGTATGGAATAAGAAGTGGTGTCACAGATTTGTTGAGTGCTGCCTTGGCAGCAAGATCGGCCATTGTATTCCCAGAAATGACAACGTGGCTGGGTAACCAACAAAAGACGATGTCGTATTGGCCAGTTGCAAGATTATTATACAATTCAATTATTTCAATTAAAAGTGGATGTTTACAAGGAAGATTTATTATAGCCTGAAGGCAAGAAAGAGAATCTGAAAATATAATATATTGTGTATATTTGGGGTGTCTATTAATATATTTAAGAGCTGTTAGTATTGCGTTTGCTTCTGCTGTGAAAATAGAGCTGTTATCAGGCAATCGAGAAGATATTGTTTTGGATCCAATGACAGTGGCTCCCATAAGACAGACCTCCCAAAAGACAGACCGCTTAAAACAATGCATTTTATGGTTGGTTGCATATGGCTTAATTAAGCTGTACCCTTGATAATAATGGTATGAGCCCAGATAAATAAAACATTAGGCATTAACTATAGTTTTATCAATTAATGTAATAAATTATGAATGTTAAACTAAGACATATTGCATCAACATATATGTACATCAACATATATTTGCCAGATCACATTTACTTGTGAATATTATCAAAACCAATAACTTATATGTGACCAAGCACCACATTATTTTACATCACATGTTTGTCAGTACACAGATAACACTTATTAGAAAGTCACTTGAACATAATCAATTTCTCCTTTCACTTTGCTCTTGGCATACAGGTAGCCATCTAGAAGGGTGATCGGAAAAAAGTCATCGAAAAAAGGTCATTGGAAAAATAACTGATAAAAAACACCCTGCTCTCCAGTTAATGGAGTTATATACTTTGTTTATACTGAATTTTATAAATACTATTTCACTTTCATCTTCAGTAATAAAAACATCCTTTTCTCCAGTTATTTGCAAAAACTAATTCAACAACTGTTTTTAAAACGTCCTATTCTCCAATTATTTATACTTGTATGATCTTGAGTGTTTTCTTTATGAACATGGTGTAACTGGCCTCGAACAAGTAAATAAACTTATTGAGGACCAGCTTGGTATCTTTTTGAAATTGTTGATATTACTTTACGCACACGATACTGTCATATTAGCTGAAGCCAGTGATTTATTGCAAAAATCGTTAAATGTTTTTGACCAGTATTGTAAAGAATGGAAACATAGTGTGAATTTAGATGTCTGTGATGAACTTCACTTTTCATTATACTGTCCAGCACTAAATGCCCTCAGAAATCAATTTCTTCCCCAATATTTCTGTAAACATCCTACTATTGAAAAATGTGTTTATCTAATGAAATGTGATTTTTCACCACTTAACTCTAAAGTTGCCAAATTTATCAAAACTAGACTTTGTTCAATGTTTTAATATGTATCAATATGCTGTATGTTCTCTGTGTCACTATATGTGATTTGTGAGAATACAATTTCGGTTCTAATCTGTTCTGTTCAGTAAAAGGATTAGTAATATGTTTTGAGAAGGGCACAGGAGAGAGGAATGTGTTGTTACTATACTCTGTAGTGACTCTGGGTCAGCTAGTGTACTCATTGAATCTGTCCTATGGGAGGTCTGTCTTTTGGGAGTGAACCCTTCCTCCATGTACACTTGATAACCGCAGTATTGACAACTTTATTAGGCTAATTTCTTATAACAACAAAAACATAAACAAAATTAAACCTATTCTGTTATATGGCTCAGAGGTTTGGGGTTTTACACATTTTAATGTTTTTGAAAGGGTTCATCTTTATGCATGTAAAAGAGTTTTAGGTGTTAAGGTCAGTACTTCTAATGCATGGTTTATGGAGAATGTGGACGTTACCCTTTATATATTGAAGCATATAAGCAAATTTTAAGATATTTGATAAGGTTAGTAAATATGCCGCAGTCACGTTATCCCAAAAATGTTACAATATGATGTGTATGTATGATAGAAATGGTAAGATAAATTGGGTAACAAATGTGAGAAATATGCTTGAAACATGTGGATTCGGATATGCTTTTAAACTTGATTGTCTTAGCTTCCCAAATGTTTTTATTAAATCTGTAACACAAAGGTTAAAAGATATGTACTTGCAACTCTGGACTGCCTCGCTAACTCTATCACCCAATACCTCATTGTATAGCACTTTTAAATCCGATCTTATAGCAGAGCATTACCTCCTTGATGTTAACATTAAAAAGTTTAGGACAGCAACTGCACGACTAAGATGTACATCCCATGAATTAAATATAGAAAAGGGCAGATATCATAATGTTCCACGAGAAAATAGACTGTGTATGTTATGTGATTTAGGGGTGATAGAAGATGAGTATCATTTTATATTAGTCTGTCCGCATTTTCACAATTTAAGAATGTTATATATACCCCCATTTTACCACATCAATCACTGTGAATATAAATTAAGGTTATTGCTGAAAGCAACAAATCTACAAATGGTTAAAAATCTATCAATGTACATCTATCATGGGTTCAACAGTACAAAATTGTTTTAAATACCATGTAACTGTACACACTTGTATTGTACAATAGGCCTGTGGCCTCTTCAGTACCCTGAATAAAAGAAATTGAAATTGAAAAACAAAAATTTGTCTGACTGAGTTTGGTTTTACGCCGCTTTTAGCAATATTCCAGCAACATCACGGCGGGGGACACCAGAAATGGGCTTCACACATTGTACCCATGTGGGGATTCGAACCCGGGTCTTCGGCGTGACGAGCCAACGCTTTAACCATTAGGCTCCCCCACCGCCCTAATTTGTCTTGGACGTCTCCTCCGTCATATAAAGAAAGTAAGAAAGCAAGAAAGCAAAATGTTTTTATTCATTATATTTTGTATTAATAGTTAAGCATGTATAATATAATGTTAGCAAAGTGCCTGCATTTTGTATTATGGGCCTATGACCAAGAATTGCAGAAATAAATATGTCTGTGTGTCTGTCTT